TGTCCAGTCACCACTGACTCAGAAACTGGAATCCCAAGGTTGCTTTTGAGTCCACATTGGTATGATTCTGTCACTACGCTGCCTTAGCTTGCCTGAGTTTTTCGCTTATGATGATGTCAAAGCAAGACCTGTGTGTCTCCAATGGACTCTGAATGACTACTCTAACCCATTATCTCAGCTTAGTATTATTGCAAATAATTCTAGGCTAGGGGCTTCCTAAATTCTGTTGGTAGAGAGCCACCCCATGGGTGAAATGGCAACCTGAGAGTCATGCTATAAAAATTAATCTTGAAAATCACTTTTACATCTGGTTGTATAAACGAGTGTTTGTCCCGAAGGTGCCAGTCTCAGTAATGGGATGTCTGTGGCAGCAGCTTGGTGTTCTCACCCCAGATGTCCCTCGCTGTCCCCTGGAGCCTCTGCTGAGTCCTGATAAAACCCCTGAGGAGTTGTCTGCAGACCATCATTAGTTGTCCAGTTTTCTCAAGGATAGGCTCAGCTCACAAACAATTTCTGGGCCTCATTCAAAAACTTCACTGGCTCCTAGTAGCTTTTTGGAGCTCTTTTGGAAGAATTTGGAGTGGAGATGTGTTCCTTGAGTAATCCTGTAGCAGTAGTATCTGCTTTAATGTATATTGAGGAATATCTTTAGATCTTTACTTCCTCCTGACTTGCAATGACCAGGGCTTTGACTGTAGTTACTTTTTAGGTAACTTTTGTGCTTAGAAAGACTGTGTATTGAGTTAAACTGGGAGAGCAAAAATAATTCTCTGAGGGATGCCTGCCTTTCTCATTGTATTCTCTTCAGTCACGGTGGCACATGGGAGGGTGCACTTTGTCCTGTAATGGCAGGATTCAGTGCAGTTCAGAGTGCTGTGCTGTCTGAGCCTTAGGTGGCAATAACTGATCTGTGCCCAAAGGCCTCGGAAGACAGCAGTTTTGAAGACTGAGTGCACGTTTTTACTCCTTTACGGTGTGGTAAAGGGACACATCTCTATATCCAGAGCCTTGTACGAGTATGCAATGGAAATTGCCACAATGTATAGAACAAGCCTGTTCTGAGGAGTATGACACACTGCGTCTTGCCAACCAAACTGCTGGAAGGTTTGAAAACTCTTGAAAACCATATCCAGAAACCAGTAATAAATATGAAACTTGCTTGCCCTTAGGAATTTGTCTCATTTCAGTACCTTGATTTAAGAATCAGCAATAAAAGAGAAGAGGCTAGACCTGCAAGGTGGCACAAGTCAGTGCAATTTCACTGAACTAAATGGAGCTGTGGCAATGTGCACCACTGAGCCATCCAGTTCAAGGCCTTAAAAGCTTTAAGTTGATGGATATTCCCTGCTGATGGCTGATTATTATTGGTACACCTTGGTACAATGCCTCTGAAGCGCAGTACTCTTATCAATTCAGCACATTATCTGAGCCTCAGGCTTGCTCTACTTTTTTCAACTTTTTTTGGGCATCAGAATTCACTCTCATTTCAGGGTAATGTAAGTCTGGAATAAAGCCACAACACACTGGCAGCGCTACTTCAGGTACCAGTTTGTACAAACAAGCATTTGTCCCAGTCTAAAAGTACTTGCTAGTTTGAGAAATAGGATGCTTTTCAGGTTATTTTTATTTCTTTCTTTTCTTTTTCTTATTGCTCACTCATTACAGCAAGAGGGCTAGCCACACTTAGAGTATATACAGATGTACATGCCTCCATCTCAGATTCCCTGCAGGCAAATGATGATAAATGTGGAGGAAAAGAAAGATGGCTTTTAGAGAATGACCTTAGGAAACAAAATCTGCAAAAAATAGTTGCTGTGCCTCATGTGTTTCATCTGTGAATACCCAGGGAAATTAATTGAAATGCAAGTGGGAAATGTTTTCATATCTTTGGGTAGAAGAAACTGAACAGTTTTTGCACAGCAGCTGGTTCTTTGGGGCTAGTCTTCTACTGATACATCCATGGGTTTCTCCATTGAAAAGAGAAAGAGGTCATTGCTGGAAGATAATTTAAATGAAATATCAAATGTGCAGCAACTCTTTTATTGCCTAGTAGTCCTCATTTTTCTTATTACTTCTTCTCCCCTTGGCTGCAGAAGCAAGTGTCTTCTGAGGTCAGTCTCCATTACACGGCACTTGGGTTGTTTGTTTTGTTAACTGTTTTCAAGACTTACCTCTTCTTTTTCTTTCTGTGAAATACATTTATATTGTATTTGGCCTGATTGCCTTTGGCATTGATTCTGAATGGTACTTGATCTAACAGGATGGTTGCGTTATTGGATATTTATATAAAGAATTGATGTTTGTTTCATTAACTCTCCAACTGACTTCGGGATTCTGAAGGAAACCTATTGTTGCCTTCCAGAGTTTTTTCCAGAACATTTTTACGCACACAATTTCTGAGACTCTCCTTGTCAATGAGAATGAAAAAGTGAAATAACTACTGACAAAAGCCTAACAGAACTTTCAGTTTGAAAACTCGCTTTTATTTAGGAGGACAATTGTTCAATGCAGGTTAGCTATGCACACAAGGAGATAATTTTGCCTTGCTCTTAGCAATGGAGTTAGAGACACCATCACTTTCCTGTGCTCCCTTTGATCTCTGGTGTCACCTGAACATTTAAAATTTCTGCAAGCTCTGCTGTTTTCTGACTGCCATTTCTTTCTGAGTTAAAGATTGTGCTGAGGCAAAAACACATTTGAACCTTATGGAAACTTCAGCTTTTTCAGAAGGCAAAGAAGGAGGACCTGAAAGTCATGTTGAGGGGTCTTGAAAGTAGGAGAGAGAGAAATAGTAGGCAATATAATAAAAGCATTTTCTGACCTTCTTTTTTAGCTTGTTTTTGGTTACCTTGACTGGATATAGTCTTGCTTGCCATTGGTCATATAGATTGGATGCTTCTTTGAATCTATGTCACTTTACATGTGTCTATAGGAATGTAAATTCCATCTTCTAGGTAATCAATCTCAGCTTGTGCTGGGCAATGAGAAATCAATAGAGGTAGTTCATAAATTAAACTAGGGAAGAGCTACTCTGAAAAGGCATCTCTGAGTTAGTAACCTTAACTTCTCTTTAAAGTCAAAGAAGAGTTTTCCTTTAATGTATCCAAAACTGATTAGATGACTCATTCCCTAAAACTATTGATTTCTCTCCAAGAGCTTATGAAGAGAACCTAGCTTAGCTTAGCTCAGTTGTAAATGTATGTTGACAGATGCCTTAAGGTCTGGTGAGTCCCACTCTTGATAGTTCTAAGGATGCAAAGGGGAGCTGAGGATACTTACAGTTTGTAGGAAGTGCCAAAACCAGATTTAGAACAAGGGAATAGCTGTTGAAATTAGATATAACTGACAAATCAGCCTTAATTCAGCAAATTGTTAGTAACATCACACTCAGTTCTAAAAGAACATGATGTTTCCTGTACTCCATAGGCTTTTTTAGGCACGGGAAAAATTCTGATATAGGATAAAATTGGCACAGAAGACTGCATATGGCTGATACCTTATATAGTTTTAAAGGAAATTCCCATGACCGCATTTGACCCTCTTTTTTTTTTTTTTTAAACACTATCAGCATCCATATAGTTGTGCACCTGTGTATTATCGTGTGCTTTGCATATGATGAAGCTGATGAGTTATGTTAAAATTGGCAGGATGAAACTTAATATCCCCACCAAGGCAGGAGTAAAAATAAGTTGTCTGTAAAATACATCTTCACTTCAACATCTATGGCATAAAACACCCGTCAGAGTACTGAATAAAATGGTAATATCAGTAAATACAGAAAGAGTATCAGGGTGTGGTACCCTTGCTTAGTACTTCCTTCTGGGAAATGAACATTGTCGTACATGGCTTGTTTTGCTAGCAGCTCATCTCTTTTATTCACCTGAGTTTCATTACAGTTCAGTTTTAATTCTGCAGAAGGAAAATATTACCATATAAAGGATGGGATCTGAGCTACTGTTTGACTACACTGCAAATCATGCTATACCTCAAATAACAGATTTTTTTGTACTTAATGGTACTTTATACTTCAGTGAAAAGAGTAGATTACATGAATAGTTCTCTTGATTGATAAACTAGGGCCAGAAGGCCAGAACCTTGTGGCATTGAGTATCTAAGACCCAATCTGACAAGATTCATACCCACAATTAACCTGCATTGTGCACAATCCTATTGACATCTCTGGAGACAGATGCCCAGCATACAGTCAAGAACCTGTAAAAGTCTTTGGCTAGCATGGTTTTAAGCTTTCAGGTTGATAACTATATATTTTAAAAGCAGCACTGAACCTCACAAAGGCTGGTTTCTAGTTTCCATTCAGCTCTAGATCAGGTGTTACCTCACCTGGGAAATTAATCATATCCCAGAAAGAAAGTATGCTGTTTGACTAAATTGAGCAAATTGAATGTCCAGGATAAATTATATTCAAAATACAATAGACACTTCTATACTTTGAATTTAAGTAGGAATAAGTCACATGTAGGAATCAATTGGCCATTTATTTGTTTGTTTATTTATTTATTTATTTATTGACAGGATTGCATTTTTTGGTAGTGAAGAGTAATCCACACAAGTAATGCAGCATTTCACTGCATTTGGCAATTATTTTATTTCTAAATGTTTTACCAAGTCCTCTTGCAGCTGCAGAATTTCTGGTTGAACGCTGAGGACACATTTGGTCTCAGGTGCTGCAGTTAGTAGTGTCACTGTCACAAAAGAAAGAGTGGGCAAGTACACATTGCCAGTGGCAGGCTCACATTTTGGTATCTTTAGCAGCATGGGATCAGGAGGAAGGATCTTAAGATGGATGGATGACTAGAGATAAAAGTAGGATCTGAAACTATATCAAGGAAAACGCAAATATGATTCCAGGTCTTTGTGTAAGAGTTTCATCCTGAAAAGAAAAAGAGGATCTAATCTCACCTAATGTTAGGCAACTGCAATGTAGGTGCCTGCCTTTGGGATAATTTCCTTCATAAGTAGAGAGAAAGAGGGGTCTAAGGGTCATGATTGATCTTCCCTGTCCTACCATCTGTCTTAGGCTGAGATTGATTGCAGCTGCACTTACGAGAGCCAGTTTCTCCATTGACTACAGAGAGACCTTGAAGGATAGTTAAGGTGTACACGTCTACACTGCAACACTCCACAGGTAAGGGAGGTGAATACTACCACTGCAACTCTTGTCCCAGGACCCTTTCCTGTCCCTGCAATTGAGTAAGGTAGCAACGTTCATCTACCATGAAGTACTTTCCTACAATTTTCCAGTCCTGCTGAATTTTCTCTAGCCAGCAGGTGACTTGAAAAAATGCTTTCAAGAGGCCCGGTTTGAAATAGATATATAACTTAAAGCTAGACATATATTTAAATTGCCTGCTGAAGTGATATCTCATTGATTTAGATGTGACTTATCCACCTTTAGGCAGGCTGTGGAACAAAACACTCAGACTCCAACCTATCAAACACTTACATGTATAAAATACTGCATTGTAGGTAGAATGATTTCAAATTGTTACAAGCAGTAAGTGGACAGTAGTTTTATCTATTAGTATGGAGAAACTGTTGGAACCAATTGTCCAAAGCTTTTGTTGTAACCACATTACACTATTATTTTCTCTGAAGGTGGTAATGAGGATGAATAAGACAATAATGCAAACCCCTTTGAAAATGGAAAATAACACATAAGATCATTGATTCTATGCCCTTTATTTTAGCCTTTGCAACCAAGGATCTAAATCTTCTTCCTCTTCTTTCCAGTAGCCTGTCTCTTTGCACCCTTAGATTTATTATTTCCTCAAGTTCATAAATACCATGCAAGTGGTAAGGATTGTAAGAAGAGAAAAATCACTCTATCAGGTGAGTTTACATCATTCCTTCTTGTTGCCCTTGTGTTCAATTATTTTCATCCTTAATGGTCTTGTTTTCCCTGGTATATAAATCAAGCTACACGGACATATAAAATTAAGTCTAGGAAAATAAACTGTTTGCTTTATTGCCTCGTGAGGATAGGCTACAGAGGTATTTAATGCTACTAGAATCCAGTGAAAAGTACTTGAAAAGGAGTTACCTTTTTGTGCAAAATTTTCTTGATACTTTTTTGCGCTTTCTAAGCTACATCTTTAAAAAGAAGGTCAGTATGATCTTGTTGCTGTTGTTTTGGCCTGCGTGTCAGTGGGCAGCTTGAACATGCCAAGGGAAGCGGTCAGATATTAGTTAAAATTCCATAACTTCTGTGTCTCTTTCTCATCAAAATACTTGCCTTTTAAAGGGTTTCCATGTTTCACATCAATAAGACTTCCTATTCTGAGCTACAATTATTTTGCTATGGCATTTTTCGTAAGACACTTAATGGGCAATCCTGGAGAGAAGGGACATCTTAATTTACCCTTTTTACACGAGTTTTCTACTCAGTAAGTTGAGTTGGAGTGTAAAGTTCTGCTTTTGGGGTAAGTGCATATGATTGCTTAAAAGAGCTGGCAGGTTTTCCTACTCCTTTCCATTTTATCAAGTGGAATGGTGTTTCAAACTTAGCTTGAAAACTGTTGGTATGCTTCCCAGTTCGCTAGTTTGAACAGCCTGATGGTGTTGCCTACTCTTTTGATTGTAAGCTTTTCCTGACCCACTTCCTTTTCTTGTACATTTAAAAGCACTAAAAAGAGCAGGATCCGGATTCTGGTAGAGGCCCTTGGGCATTGCTACATTGAAATCATAATAAATGTTCAACTGCTGCAATCCTTCGGGCCACAACAGAGCAGGTCACATATTTGAACTGAGGTAGGAAATGTTAAACGACACATTGATTTGGAAATAGTATTTGATAGTCCCAAAACATATGACTGTGTTTCAACTGATATAAGTCATAACTTTTTTGAGGTCAATGAGTCTCATACTGATTTAACTATTACTATTCATTTGTATAGTAATGGCAGCTAAACATTTTTCTACTACAGATGATGCCCCTTCTACATGATTTGAAAAGGACCAAAGCTTAGAAGGAAGGAAGGGCAGAGATGATATAATAACATAGGCATGAGAAATCAAAGCATGCACCTCAGAGGGAAAACATGCTGAAGCTGGAGGACTCAAGATCTGTGCTCAGGTTTGGGACAGTCTGGTTAGAGGAAGACAAAAGCATGACTGTTTAACTTTGTGCAAATCATTGAATATTTTGTATACAGAGATCTTGACAGCTGCACTCAATATTTGTTTGCTTTCAAATGATTTTTAAGAAATCAATGCTTTTTTGCATTGTTAGTGCCTAACTATCATTGCATGCAGTTCTCTTGGGAAGCTCACTCAGTTTTGTTACTCACTGGCTTTGATTCTCCTTCTTTGGTTTTTTCATTTAAATACTTCAATTTTTCTTTTTCTGCTGGGATGAACTTCATACTTGTGCTTTCTGGTCCGTGATACTGATCTGTTATTTATTCACAGAAAGTTTTGACACTGGCCACACAGGTACAGGCTTCCGTGCTCCATCCTGGCATTTTGGTTTTGGTCACCACTTTCCATTATCCACACAACACTTTGTATTGGATTGACACTACCAGTTTATTTAGGGCAGAGCTTCATACAGGCACAGAGCAGTAAAAATATGTCCAGTTTATTTTTCTAGAGCTGTAACACTGGATAAAAGAATCTGTAAGCCCATACAGTCATCCATACAGTCCTCCTTTGATTGAGAGCTTCTGGTACAGTCAGCATCTGGGAGGCTGACTTGCACTGTTTTCTCTCCATACTTTGCTCTGATTATTTACTAGCTAAATGTGGCTAAAACACTGTGGTTAAAACACTGAACTGAGGTCCAAGAGAGACAAGGTAACTCCTACCTCAGCTATAGATGTTCCTTCTGATCATGGAGAAATTGTCAGTGTCTCTGTGACTGTTGTGAGCAAGAACTCTGCCCTGACTTAGAGGAGTGTTGACAGAGGGAAACTTGTTTCCAGCAAATAGATCCTGCTGGAATTGTGCACTGGTTGAGGTCCAGGAGGGAAAAAATTAGAGGGAAGGCAGAAACTGCTATAAGGGATAAGGTGAACACACAGGCCCAAGTCAACCAGGCTACATACCTTGGTTTTGTAAACATAAATTGATTAATCCTTATGAGGTGCTGAGATATTTTAAATCCATAGAAAATCCCTAATATAAATACCCTGAATAATGGAATATCTGCTTGCACTTCTATGACAATCCCTGCCAGTTTTGGTGGTTTCTTTTTTTTTTTTTCTTTTTTTTTTTTAAACTAAACCTAATGCTTACCAAAAATATTTTTTAATCTGCAGAATTACACAGTGCAATATTCAGAGATGGGAAAAAAAAGATTAAATTTAAATAAACCTCAGGATTGAATTTTTAGCTATAAGACAGACTGAGGTGAAACTTAATTGTGTCCTTGGAAGCTAATCTAATGGCCATTTGCAGTGTGGGGGCACATTAGGGAGTTTTTCCCATTCACAGCTTTTTTTTCTAATATATATTCAAATGTAAGAGCAACTTCTCATTTTAGAAATGTGTCCAGAAATAAATAAATCCTATTTCACCAGTGCAGTAACAGAGCAAGGTCTGGGGAGTGAGGAGTTACATTTGCAGTTCTCCATTTGCTGCTTTTGAAGGTGTCACCTTCACACAAAGCATCAATCTGTTCCACACTGCAGAGGCCAGAATGGCCTTTGCTACCTGCAAAACACACTATGCTTCTGATGATCTCCCGTTTCTGCACTAATCAAAGTTCTTGGCACTGACTTCTTTAATTGCACATGAAATTTGAATTAAAAAGAATGTCTCGTTAGTTCCAATCTGACTGATTTAGCCTCTGACAGGATTCCCTCGATTTTTGAAAGCACTCAATGTCCTTTAGGCTCTTAAATGAATGAGTCATTTTTCCACAAGCACTCTTCAATTAGAAAGCACAGTGATGGGGTGAAGGTTGTCTGCATTTTTCTGAACATCCAGACAGAGACATACATGAAAAAAGTAATCTTCCTGACTGATGAGGAAAGCAACTCCCCTCACATAACTTAGTCTATACTTTTGATGGTGTTTCTGGGAGGTGATGTACATAGCATGGCACGCTATGTCTTGCATCAGTGACGTAACTCTGGGGCTCTGCAAATATGCCAAAGTTTTTGTAGCATAAACAGATTCTGCAGGTGGATGTGAAGAACTTTCCAAAAGTGCTCTGAAGGCACTGGGATACCTCAAACCAGTGCTCTTACACTAAGTGAGGACTTGAGTTTGTAGCTGTTGTATCTCTTCAGCCTTCATAACTCAAGGAATCAAGGGTGGAATAAAAGGCAATGAAGAAAGAGGCCCTTATTCACCTGGCAGCCTGCAGGGGGGAAGCAAAGAAGGCAGGACTGGGCATGCCTATGTAGATGTCAAAGCGATGCCAGGGACTCCCTGATTTCATTAGGCTCTGCTGTGCTGAGGAGCAAATGGGTTCAACCTTTCTCTCCCACTTTCCCCCCTTATTTCCCTCCTTTTCCTACCCTCTTTTAACTTATTCTCACAAGCTGCTTCCTCCCTCTGCTTGTATCCTTATCTGCTAAAGATCTGCTTGCCTCATTATTTCATCTCTTGGAAACTCTGTGTAAACAACACAGTTATCGGTACAGAAACGCAAAATTTGGATTTGAAAAGTGCTCACTCGGTTTGTACTCCATGCCCATGAACTCTCGTTGTGGTGCCATTACAGCTTGTCACCCCAGTGAGCAGAATTAAGCAGGGAATGTGAAGATCATCCCTCCTCTACTCGCAGCAGCTGTGTTTGCAGAGAGCTAGAACATGTCCACTTTTTCCCTGCTTTTACCTCTTGGTCATGTATGATAATCCCATCTGCCCCATGCTTTATTTCTCTGTATTGAAGGAAATTACCATTGTTTATGAGTTCCAATTTGCAGAGGCAAAAGAGCCAAATCCAAAGGACTTCTTTAGAGAAATCAACATTTTCATCAAAGGTCAAGGGAAATGATCAGACAAATAATCTGTCTTGCTCCATCATATCCATTTTGCCTTGAGAAGATCAGATGATCACACATACTTACCTTTGACTTCAAACTGGGCTAAGATCCTAATTTCTATTGGCTTATTTTAGGTTGAGAGTAATTAATTTCTTTCCTGTCATATAAAATAAACTATAAATTCTTACTGAAAGTCTTACTAAAGGTAGAAAGAAGCCTTCTGGTCAAATCTGATGAGAAGAAATGACAGCAACACATTTAAAAAAAAAAAAACACAATCAAAGAGCCTCTCTTTAGAGTTACAAATCCCACTTTGATAAGACTGAGTTTTACTTCAATATGTGAATGTTTCTCTTTGGCACTGATACTTTTTTTTTTTGCCCACAAAAAGTGTTGATCTCCAAGTAGCTCCACCTAAAACATCGGAAATATCTTTGTCCTATAGTGAGAAAGAGCTTTACCTTCGCGGGAACAGGTGGTTCACAGCCCATGAGCACCTCTCACCTGGAACAGGTAAGCATACTGCAGCTATTCCTTTTATTTCTGTTCTGTTGATGCTAGCATCATCATGCATTGTTTTTTTTTAGTGAAAAGAAGTCAGTTTTAATTGTCATCCTAAATATAGTTGCAAATTCCAGCTGAATATTTGAATACCTGTTTGAGACCTGGTTTTGGAAGTGGAGAAAATTTCACAGCCTTGATTTCTACTGTTTTGACACTTTCATTTATGGAAGTGTCAGTCTGACTTGTAGTATATTATTGCCGTGACACCAACACCTGTATATCGGTGCTATTAACACTTCCATTTCATGTCCTCCAGATAAGGGCTGGCTCTTGGAAATCCTTCCTTTGAGTTATTTGCCTCAGGATGTGCCTGCAATGCAAAGATAAATAAACCATAGGATTTCTGGCTTTTTAAAGTTGAAATTAAAATCTTAGTTGTCTTCACATGTGACACATTCCATGCGCGCCAATTTTCAGTTGAAACTGCTTTTGTTATAGGTGTTATTTAATATGTGGTGTTGATTGAGAGACACAGAAGACTAGAATAGATCATATTAAATTTCTGCAGGAAATTCCTCTTTAAAGTACAAAAATCAGTTCAGATTGCTGCAGTAGGTACAGAATTTGGCAATGGCACTTTCTGGCTGACTAGCTCTATGAATTTGTGGTCTGTCAGCCAGAACCGGGAGGGAGAAGTTGAAAGACTGTCATGAGATTCATTGGCATTTTCCCCACTAGAATGGCACAATCATACATGAGCATATATTATTACTGCTCAATACAAGAAGTTATCCTGGAGGGGAGCAGAAGAAATGCCCTTGCTGCAGAACTTCCAAACAGAGCAGAATTTCTCAGTCTCTGTAGGGCACTATAGTGAACTATAGCAATGGAAGTTCTCTTAAAAGCTGATTAAAAAGAAAAAAAGTTTGGATTTCACTGAGCATGTTGCTTTAAATGGTTGCTTTAATCTGACGTGAACTTGTGCTGCTATGTGTGCTGCCATGTGTGCTGCCATGGGGTTGTGTTCCACCTTGTAACCCTTACTAACTACCTGTGCCTGCTGCTGCTGCCTCTTTTGCGGTGACATGAACGTTGATATGATTCATGATGAATCAGATGAGAGAACAGATGGGAGGAAAAAGTGCCTCACCTGAAAGTACAATCTGATGGGTCACTCGCATGTGCTTGCCCAACAGTGGTGTTGGTACAAGGGAGGCACCGAGAGCAAGGAGACAGATAAAGAAACTGACTGGTCTTGGCCTTGGTTCTGCATCACGGAGAATAAAGAAAGTGTTCCTCAAATATTATCAGAAAGAGTTTAACTGGTCCTGCTGCAGAGAGCAGTTTGAGTACAAGCTTGGTTTGTCTAGTCAGAAGAGTGGGTGAGGAAGAGTCAAGGATCTGCAAGTCCTGATTCTCATGCCAGTTCATGACTCAGATACACAGAGGTGTACCAAGATCAACATCAAGCTCAAACCTTGTCATGATGCTCATCATGATTCTCACTAAGCGCTTAGTTCAGTCTGAATCAGAAGCAACTCTTTCATAGTCAGCAGAGTTATGCTCTCATAAAACCATCACGACAGGACAGTCAAGTCTTATGTCGATAATTATCCAGTTTCTCTACTTTGAGCATTCCCAACCATTTTAGCAATGCTTTCCACATCTTCCCCATGTCTTTTTATCCTGTCTGGCAGGATAAAACCACCTGGGGTGGTTTGATTTTCCCCTGACACCAACCATTGGTCTCAACATCTCTTTTGTGGCTTTGTTTGAGGAGCAGAGGGCTGACAGTGCTGTGAGATGGGTTGGCATCCTCCCCCACATGCAGCTCATGAGAATAGACAGATGATGCCCTAACTGTGATGCGGACAAGGAGGTCTGGTGCTCACTCCTCTGCCCTGACAGGCACTTCAGTGAAAGTCTCTTAATGTCCTCTCATCTGAGTTGTCCTTTTGAACTCCAGTTTCAAGAGTTTGAAGATGGTTTCTGTACTAATTAATTGTTCGCTCCTCTTGAAATTTTCAAATCAAACAATTGACAGCACACACACATGCAAACAGAAATTCATCTGTGCTTACTCATCACTATGAATAATTTAAAAAAAAATATCCTGGCTAGACTGCAGTTTATGAACCTAAATAATGTACCATAAAAAGAGGATAAAGTAGTAGTCCTAGTATAAATCTCTTTTGCAGAAAAGTACATTCCTTCAGGCTGAAAGCTGCTGAAATGGCAAGTTTTGATAAGCTTGCATCCACAATTTTTTTAATGTATGTCTTCCTCTTTCCACAGTGCCAGTTGTGAGGTTTATTTAACAAAATGTAGCATATACACATTATTCTCCTCTCCTTGCAGTCTCCTGTCAAAAGAGTCAGTGTTCATCTCAGAAAATTCAGAGGTGCATAATCAGAGTTGCTATGGGGGTTTTAGTCAACTTTTTTGAGAGTTCATTGAACAAATTTTTTTTTACCTGGAGGAATCATCAGATGCAACATAGCAGATGTCCAGATATTAGTGTCATCTGCTGCTTTGCTCAGAATGCTTTAGAGACAAAATACAGTGCCTAGCTTTTTCTTAATTTTTCTTTTCCTTTTTTGGGCAGCTTAAGCTACATGAGAAGATAACCCACCATAACTTCCCATTGCTGCCAGAAGACTGAAAAAAGAAAAGCTGCTAAATTTGGGTGTGTTCTCTCTTTTAGAATACATTTTCTTTCTCAATTCAAGCATAGCTTTTAAAGCGTATCTGTGAATCACACTTAAAAGCATCAACCGTGGCCATTTCAAAACATTAGCTGCTTAACAAATTCAAAGCAGATTGACCTGTTTCCCTGTGCTAAAGCAGTATAACTGACTTGTTAATTTTAATTTCCAGACAGAAGCTTTCTTACCTCTAAAGCCTCATGGAGCTGATTTTGATGCCCTGAAGTCAGTAATAATTTTCCCTACATATACTAACATACCATTAAGGATGAATAAGAGTATCACCATCAAGCCTTATGTAAACTTGTTTCAGGCTCACTCAGTACATTTTATTCTGTTCTCTCCCCATTCTCATTTTTCTATTCCCCTTTGATTTTCTGATAGCCCTGTCAGTTGTTTGAACAGCAGATCCTGTCCTCTAGTACAATTTTCTGCTACTGCTCTTTGCCTTTCCAAATCATTCCAGACGGGGTCTTATAGTAGCGAAACCTCTTGTCAGTCCTGTGTTACATTTAGGTACTATTAGAGAAGCAACACATGTTAGTTTTACATCACCTCCAGGTTTCTCAGTGCTGGCATCCAGAACCTACAGATGTGAGGCTGGCAGAGAGCTGTAGGAGGTTGCTTATGAAGTTGCACTATAATAGAAATAAAAATAGCCAAGAAACTATTGTAAGTACTGAAAACAACATAATGTAAAAAAAAAAAAAAAAAGCAGAGCTGGTCTGCTGTGTAGAGCCATAGGAAACTTCACTGGGTAGAGCACTGTGTCTTTGCAGCTTTGTGCAGCTTTCTGTGCCCAGCCCGCCTTTGGTGGAGAAGATCCTTGCTGAATCCCAACACTGCAGTCTGAGAGAGGGAGGAAGCAAGGTGAGGCATGGAGACCTGCTTTAAGTTCTCAGCTGTGTCAGGGATTTACTTGTCATCTCACATTAGTCCTTTACTTATCTTCTGTTACTATTTCCATCTATAAAATAAGGAGAACATGTTTCAACTCCTCATAGCATAATTGTGAAAGTAAATCTGAGAAAACATTCAAATACTAAGTATTACATATATTAATACTTATAATTAAATATATTAAGAGTAATAATGCCAGTAATACAATTTATGAATGTGGTGGAACAGAAGTTCCTATTTCTAAGGAGGGAAAAGCTTATAGGACATGACCCCTGCAGGCCTGTCCTGGGGAGATGCTTTCTGCTTAAGAGGTACTTGCATTGCCCTGCCCCAAGTGGAATGTCTTGGGCCAGCTTGTGAGTAAGGCTGGCCACTGAGTTTGACTTCCTCAGGAGCAGACCATGCAGAAAAGGGTGCTGGCTCACACCTTTTCCTCACCACTGTGCGAAGAGATGAGCACCTGGGTTGTCACATTGCATCCAGTGAAAGGAACTGTGTTCAAAGAGCTAGACGGAGATGGCAGAGCTGAACCTGGGTTAACCAGGCTGAGCCTCGGTCTGCATGAGAAAAGATGGATCTGCTCAGGACATATTTAGGAGTATGCACAGCAGCATTATCTCATGTTACTATGTCTTCATTATTTCAACAGTGGCCTGTTTCAACCGGCTGTAAGACAGCACTTCATGAGGCATTAGGTATAATTAAAATTACATTTCAACTGCCAAAACAAATAACCAGACTAAATGCATTTTCCTTTTTCTTTTTTCTTTTTTTTTTGGAGTTGTCTTTGTTCTTTTGCTGAGTGGTACAGTGGCCCATCAGAACTGTTTTCCCAATCCTTCTCAAGTTTGGAGTAACCCGAAGTAAAGAGCGTGTGATCATTTCTGCAGTATCTGAGCTTTGCTCCATCCACAATAAGAGCAGATGCAAAATGAGGTGGGAGTTCCTGTTTGGGGAAAAGTGAAAGGCACAGTGCAAAAACAAAAGCCAATTTACAGCTTTTCTATAACTCACCATGGAGTGACATTGTTTTGACAGGTGAGAGCAGAATAGCTCACTGTATTGAGGGAGATATTTCTGAGTAGCCAGAATATCCCTTTGTAATGTGTGAGTGAAAAAGAAAGTAGGCCAGAGGAACAAACAATTCTCTCCTAGTGCAGTCATTCTTGCTCAACAAAACTTGAAAGATAGCATCTACAGAAATGCCAGCCTTTCAAAAGCAACAATAATTAGGAGATTACCTGAATGCCACTACCTCATTTACTGAATCTTGGAAAACTGTCTGGAAACTTGATCCACATGCTTGCTCATTTTTGGCTTTTATGCGAAAAGTAATTACGTTATCAACCAACCAGTAAAACAGGCAAAACCCCAGGGTGAATGCCACTATTCCACTGAT